TTGCCATCATTGTTATCTGCTTCATATTATTTTTGTACGCTATTTTGCACAGGTTTATTTGGTAGTCTGGTCCTAGCCTCGTCACTACTTCGCCGAGGTTAGGCTAGGCATTTACCAGCACATGGGGTCGGTTGTGCTGATACTACACTTCTATACATTTTTGTATACAGACCTAGGTATTTGATCGATAGTAGCTACTCGTTGCGGTGGAGACTCAAGGTAAACTTGTTGCAACGTTCACAGTCCACAGAGTCACCTTCAATTGTACTTATTTTCATTTGTTCCCTTTGTTTCAGAACAGTGATATATTTATTTTGTATAACACTCTTAGAAAGGCTTGTGACTTGTACCACCGGTTTTGGGAATTATAAATTGTTAAGAGTTATTGAATTTAAAGTTGGCAAATATCAATGTTATTTCAGTTAATGTTAGGCTTACCTAGTTTAGAGACTAGATGCCATCACGACTCCTTCGGAGGGATTTTTGGGTCGTGACAAGTTGGTATCAGAGCTCTTGGTTTATAGGTGCTACAAGTCATAAGCGAGTTTAGTAGAGTCTTGTGGATCGATACGGAGATGTCTGTACTTATCTCTGAGAGGCTACATAACTAGTAGGAAAAATTTCCACTTCATTCATTCCTTATCGTGCGACATTTATTCAGCTTGAAGCATATATCTTATGTTCTTTTGCATTCACTCATGTATGGAATTGCGCACTATGCCAATGGTTTGTGATACCGTACAAGGTTATAAGAGAGCCAGAGCTGCTCAACCATTGTTACCACGTGTCGTTCAGAATCAAAGATATAGAAGCGCAAAGAGATCTTTCGGTTGTGCGCATGGGGGTGCATCAGATTCTGACATTTGGTTAATAAGTACAATCTTAAGAAAGTTTAATTGGTTGCCTAATCATCACATGTGGATGTAGATCTAAAAATAGTTGGTCGTATTAGAGATTATGTGTTTCGTATGGGATTTTTATTTAGCGAATGGTATTTACTAGCAAGCCGAGACACTGGAAGAGGCGAGTTTAACTGTCACGAGGATGACATGCGCCAAATAAATAGCTTGAGGTGTCTTATGACCGGTGCCGTACGAGCGATAAAGGTTAGTATTGTGAATCATCAGAATGTTTCATATGGCTTCGTGCTAAGTGAGGGGAGTTTACTATCAACTCTCAAATTATGGGGTCATCTGTTATATTAGTTTTGGCTTGAGCTGTATATATGTGGTATTGAAAGGTTTGTCGAAACTTGTATATGATTAAGAGCTGATATTTGAAAGGAATAATGATGGGACTTTTGGTATTCCCGCGTCCTTAATAATTCTACATTTCAGTATAAGCAGGGACATGGCAACAATTTCAGAATACTCATAGTGCTCCAGTTAATCAGGGCACTTACGTGGGGCAATCGTCTTTTAATGTACCAGTGGCATGAAATTTTTTGCAATGGTTATTTATGTTATCCGGTACAGACTTAGTATGAGCAGTCAAACTGCGGATGGGTTGTTATGAAAATGGTGATACTAGGAACATCTTGAGAAATTATCCTAGACTTGGGAGAGACATATTTCGTCAAAACACTCAGGCTACGTGCCCCATTGCAGTTACTACTCCACTTACATGATCAACCATAGGTAGAGGTCAGGATATTAGAGGTGAAGGTGAGACTCCTAGAGGTGGAGACCCAGTCCGTTGATACATTTTCTATGGTATAGCTGAGGTTGCTACACCAGACGGTATCATTATAAGTACGGTCTCGAATTATTATAAAGTCAAAATTTCCTTAACTTGATTCGGTTTTGAGCATCGAGGAAAGTTCTCCTATTGTGCTCCACTTATGAGTGAGCTTCCTAATTCTTAAATCTACATATGTGAATACTTCTGTTAGAAGATTGTATGGAGATAGCTATGTCTATCATTATGTGTTGGTCACTAAAAATAGTTGTGAGGCTAAAAGTGACTCTTGTTAATCAATTCGATGAGTTTGATTTAATTTCTAAATAATTGATTTCCATTGTAAATTATATGCCCTACCGGTAAGAGGGATCATTGTATGTTGTGATTTTGTTTAACCGAAATTATTTGAAAGAAGGAAGAAATGAAATGAAAAATTTTAGTTGGCGCAATGTGCAAAATACTTGTGATTCAGAGTTGAGGATGAGATCCTCACATTTATATATGATATGAAATATTTAAATCGGGCTACAAGCTGCGGTGGATGTTATATAAGGACGAGGTCCTGGTGGTGAAAATTTTATGTGTTTAAATTTTTCTTTTGTGAAATTAAAATTTGTGTTGTAGCACTTGTAGGGAGTCATGCCTATTAGGATTATTTGAAAATTCTTATATGAATATTTCTGTGCATAATTTGCCAAAATTGTATTGTAACTATTGAGTTTTAGCCTACAAGGTGAGAGCCCAGGTGACATTAAATTGTGACTCGTTACTTCGGGTATGTAATTATAAGATCCCCATGCCTTGTTGTTAGTAATCTGGAGGTTTGAAACGAAATTTTGTTAATATGAGGTTAATTGATGATATTGTAATCTATTATGAACAACAATTAAGACCAGAGATGTGGTTATGGTCATACATATGATGTGTTTTATGTCAAGATATCATTGTGATAATGACGTGTTTGTAACGCGGAGATTAGTGTTATTGATATATACTTTGTGGTGTGTTGTTGGGTTGTGGACTTGTTGTTAGGAGTTGTTTTGGTGTTACACTGACAGGTGGATAGGCCTAATTATAAGGGAGACTCTGCCGAAATTTCTGAAAAATTTGGGAGTTAGAAAAATTTGGGATATTGAGATGTGCAAAGAAAGAGATAAGTTACATTATGTGTTTGAAGACGGACTCTACTTCTCATTTAAGGACGAATGACCCTAAGTGGGGGAGAATGTAATACCCCGTATTTGATGGGTGCATAGGCACGAGTTGCTATAGCCAGTCGGGACTAATATCGTGTGTTGACGTAAAATTCGGACCTTTCTAGAAATGATTGGAGTGTGAGAAATTTGGTCTTGAAGTTTACGAATATGGATAAAGAAAATGATCTCAATTGAAATGGTGTTGTCAGACTTATGTCGAATACGATAATGTGGGATCAACCGCGAATAATTGTGTAAAAGTAAAATCATCAATTTGATAACTTGAGAATAATTCTTAGTACGTTCGAGGACGAACATTTGTTTTAGAGGTGGAGAATGTGATGACCCAAAATTTCATCTTTAAATTAAATAATCATCTCGGTATTTTTAAGACCTTGAAAAGAGGTATCAATAATTCCTCGACTTGCATGCGCATTCCGTATAATTTTCCGGAAGGTTTTTATGTGAAAAACAGATTAAATTGTGAACTAGAGCTTTAAAACTCAATTGAGTTGACTTCGGTCAACATTTTGAGCAAACAAACACGGATAAAAGTTTTGACCATTCCGGTAGTTCCGTATCGTGAATTGGGACTTGGTCATATACCCAAAAGCGAATTTGGAGGTCCTTAGATCAAATTATCGTCATTTAACGGAATTTAGAAATCTAAGGTTAAATATTTCTTAGGTTTGACCGGAGAGTTGACTTTTTGATATCGGGGTCGGAATCTAGTTCTAAAAATTTTCATAGCTTTGTTATGTCATTTATGACTTGTGTGCAAAATTTGAAGTCAATCGGACTTGATTTGATAGATTTTTGCATCGAATATAGAAGTTGGACGTTCTTAGTTTCATTAGGCTTGAATGGGGATGTGATTCATGGTTTTAGGATTATTTGATGCGATTTGAGGTTTCGACTAAGTCTGCATCATATTTTAGGATTTATTGGTGTATTTTGTTGAAGTCCTGAGGGCCTCGGGTGGATTTCGCAAGGTCAACGGGTAGAAAAAGCTGCTGAAATTCTCTTTGGGAAGCTGCTGTCTTTTTTTACAGCATCATGTACAGTACCCCGTGAACAGTACCATGTACAGTACCCCGTGAACAGTACCGTGAACAGTATCCCGTGTACAGTACAGTGAACAGTACCACGTGTACAGTACAGTGAACAGTACCCCCGAATAGTGCCGTGTACAGTACCCCGAACAGTACCATGTACAGTACCCCATGAACAGTGCCGTGAGCAGTCCCCCAATGAACAGTCGTGAACAGTGTGAACACGTGAACAGTCCCCGGAATTTTTCTGGACAGAACATTAAGTTTTGAAACCATTTTTAGCGAATTGAAGGTCGGGAAGAGGCGATTTTCGGGAGATTTCCAGAGAAAACAACAGGGTAAGTGTTCTTAACTTAATTTTGGTTAGATTATCCGAATCTATTACTAGTTTTGGCATTTAATTGACGATTTTAATTGGGAAAATCTTGAAAACCCTCTTGGTTTAATTTGAAGAATTGAGGGTTGAATTGATGTCGGATTTTAGTAAAATTGGTATGGTTGGACTCATGGTTGGATGAGGTTTCATATTCCGTAATTTTTGTCGGGTTCCGAGACCTGGGCCCCACGGACGAAGTTTTAGTGCAATTTCGAATCTTTAATGGAAAATGTAGAATTTCATATAGAATTAATTCCTATAATTTTTGTTGACTGAATCGAATTGTTTATGACTAGATTTGGGAATTTCGGGCACGGATTCGCGAGGCAAAGACTTGTTGGAATTTTGAATTGGTTGCAAAGCGAGGTAAGTGTTTGGTCTAACCTTAGCTTGAGGGAATAGGAGTTGTGTCTTATTTGCTACATGTTAATTGTGGAGTACGACGTATAGGCATGGTGACGAGTATCTATATGTTAGTATCAAGCATGCCCGTGAGTCTTATATTATAATTGTTATGACTCCGTTGTGGTTTATTGCGCTTCATATGTTATTATTATTATTATTGTTCTCTTGCCGGGATGTTTGTTTGATATTATTGTTCCCTTGCCGAGATGTTTGTTTGATATTATTGTCTCCCTTGCCGGGATGTTATCGTTTTGATGTTGTTTCCCTTGCCGTTTATTTGATTGTTGTACTATTGTCCCCTTACCGGGATTTTATTGTGATTTCATTTATTTTCTTGCCCTTATTTCTTGTGATTGTTGTTAAGGTGAGGAAGAGTGTTAAAGCACGAAGGGTGATGCCATGTATGATTTTGTGAGAAAGAGTGTAAAGCACGAAGGGTGATGTCGTGCCGCACGATGTACAATTCCGTGACGATTATATTGATTTTATGGTGAGGAAGAGTGTAAAGCACGAAGGGTGATGCCATGTAGTTTATATTGATTCTTATAGTGAGGACGAGAGTAAAAGCACGAAGGGTGATGTCGTGCACTTGTCCTTGATTTTTCCTGATTCTAATTGAGTTATGTTGTCCTGTACGTTTATTTACTGATTTTCCGTTATTACTTGATTTTATTTCGATGTTATAGATTCCCTTACCCTATTTGCCTTGTGTTTGTTGCTTGGGTGAGGAAGAGTGTAAAGCACGAAGGGTGATGCCATGTAGTTTATATTGATTCTTATAGTGAGGACGAGAGTAAAAGCACGAAGGGTGATGTCGTGCACTTGTCCTTGATTTTTCCTGATTCTAATTGAGTTATGTTGTCCTGTACGTTTATTTACTGATTTTCCGTTATTACTTGATTTTATTTCGATGTTATAGATTCCCTTACCCTATTTGCCTTGTGTTTGTTGCTTGGGTGAGGAAGAGTGTAAAGCACGAAGGGTGATGCCGTGTATTGTTTTGATGAGAGAGTGTTAAAGCATGAAGAGTCATGCCATGCACTTTCTATTTGCTGAGTTTACTTATTATTAACAATTCAAGTGTATTAACTGCTTAGATCCCTTTAATGTTGTGATCCTTTATGTTGAAATCCATAGTGTTTACAATACCTCGCCTTATTTTTTTAATATGTTCAATACTTCAAATTTCAAGAATTATTACATTTAACTCAATTGATTTCTCAACTAAAGTTTCCTTAAACCGTTTGAGGTTGTACTTTACTTAAAAAGGAATTTCTACTATGTTTTGCTTTATTAATTTCTCGTATTAAAGGTAATGATTCCTTCGATATTATACTTTCATTGAAAATGGTATTTTCTTTATCAAATGATTTCAAAAAAAAAAAATTTATCTTTTCTTGTTGATTTCCTAATTGGGTTGGAAGTTGTACTCTACTTTATGTTAAGCGAATGAGGCTCCTTGAACACTCTTAATTATATTGGGTTATGGAACCTTTGAGCTGAGTAACATGAGAATATTGTTGTGCAATGTGAGACAGAAATATGTGGGCACAAGGTGCCGGGGAAAATATTATGATTTTATTTAATGGCACGTGAGTTGTCCGTGCGGTTGTGACATAAATATGGGCACGAGGTGCCGTGAAAATATGAAAGTTGGCTGAGACCTATATTATTTATGATTATGAAATGAGGTGTCACAAGGTGACCTTTACTCGAAAGAATTATATTCGAAAGATGCTTATCTGAAAGATATTTATTTGAAGGAAATATATTCGAAATATATTTATTGAAAAGCATATTGTCTTAGAGATTATTACTTGAAGGATTTATAGGCGAAAGATTTATATTTGAAGGACTTGATTAATTGATTGCACTTGTGTTTATTATTTGTTGAGAAACATTTATGGTGTTCTTGTTGCCTGCTATTTATATCACTGGTTGATCATTGTTGCCATCATTGTTATCTGCTTCCTATTATTTTTGTACGCTATTTTGCACATGTTTATTTGGTAGTCTGATCCTAGTCTCGTCACTACTTCGCCGAGGTTAGGCTAGACACTTACCAGCACATGGGGTCGGTTGTGCTGATACTACACTTCTATACATTTTTGTGTACAGACCTAGGTATTTGATCGATAGTAGCTACTCGTTGCAGTGGAGACTCAAGGTAAACTTGCTGCAGCGTTTGCAGTCCTCAGAGTCACCTTCAATTGTACTTATTTCCATTTGTTCCCATTGTTTCGGAACAGTAATGTATTTATTTTATATAACTACTCATAGAAGGGCTTGTGACTTGTACCACCGGTTTTGGGAATTATAAATTGTTAAGAGTTATTGAATGTAAAATTGGCAAATATCAATGTTATTTTAGTTAATGTTAGGCTTACCTAGTTTAGAGACTAGGTGCCATCACGAATCCTTCGGAGGGATTTTTGGGTCGTGACATCATTATGCCCTTCTCTTAATTCACTGATGGTATTGATATTCCCTCGCAGTATGTACCCCCTCCCATCCTTACTTGTTTATTCCTGTTTTATTTTCCGCTGCATATTATATAACTGCACAAGTTTATTTGGTAGTCTGGTCCTATCCTCGTCACTACTTCGCTGGGGTTAGGCCAGACACTTACCAACACATAGGGTCGGTTGTGCTGATACTACACTCTGCACTATGTGCAGATCCCGGAGCAGAAGCGTTTGGATTGCAGCTTTGGGTGGCTGCCTTCAGTCTAGTTAGAGATCCCGAGGTAGTCCTGCAGGCGTCCGCAGGCCTGGCGTTCTCTTCTATCTTTATATGTATTCTGTTTTTATTTACTTCAGAGACAGATTGTACCTTTTTTTCCAGACATTTGTATGTAGTATTCGTAGATGGTCCGTGATATTATGACACCGAATTCCGGGTAGAGATGTATATTGGTGTTGCCGCACTGATTTTGGCTAAGTTATCAGATTAAGTCTTCCGCATGTATTTAATTATCGTTAATATTTCATTGTTAATCGCATGTTCATTTAAATTGTTAAAAAGGCTAAATAAAAGAGTTAGTGATTCTACATTACGCGGCTTGCCTAGCTTTCACGAGTAGGTACCATCACGACTCCCGAGGGTGGGAAATCCGGGTTGTGACACTTAACTTTTTAATTTTTTTATTATTATTTATTTGAAGTCTATATTTTAGCTTTTCTTATATACAAAGTTATTAATAATTTTATTATAATCAATAACTCCTAATAAGTATTTGTCAATTGACAGTATAACTATCCATTTAATCTTTCTTGTGCCATTGTTGTTCTTAGGTAAGATTTTATCAATTAAAATTTTGAAAACTTCTTTCCGTTGAAGCAATGGTAACATGAGTTATTAACATTATTCATTAAGCAATTTAGGCATTTGGAAAAGAACTAAATCTTTTTATTTGATTAAGTGTATTAATTAAACTGTTATATATCTTCTAATTGTACTATTTTCCTTAATACTTTTAATTCAGAAAATAAATCTAAATCATCAATATCGAATTGATTATTACGTTTTAAGGAACATTCACGATTAAGACAATATTTTTTCAAATTTCCAACATCTAATGATCTTAGTTTTTACTGCTAAATAGAAAACCAAAAATATTTCCATATGCTTCGAATTGTCCAAATCTATTTTGAAGTGAAAAAATAGTCTTGTCTATTATGTATAAAAGTAATCAACTCTAAAGGACTCTTTGAAAGATTTTGAGATTTCATTATCAATATTTGTATCAAATTGTTACTTCCTATATATCACGCGTTTCTTACGAAATTCGGGTTCGATATTCATTTCAAGTTCAATTTTTTTGATAGAAAGAAATCAAACTTTTTCACTGTACAAAACTTTTTTTAAACTTATACATAGTTTATTAGGTGTAACAAAAAATGGGGCCCCGATAAATACGGGGCCTAAAGTGATTGCTTTATGGAAGGGCCGCCCTAATTATATTAAAAGTTTTTCGAGTTTAAACCTTGCAAATGAATAATCTTTCAGTATAGAACATTTATCCTTTTGTAAGACTATACAATACGTATTTGATTAGTTGAATTAGTGAACTTCCGAAGGAAAATATTATTTTATTATAACTATCTGAAGCTCTCTACAATTCTTTATTTCCTCCATACATAAAATAAGCTATTAATACCCCTATTTATAATAGTGTGAAACCTATTTTAACTAGACACAAACTCATTCCTATATTTATTCTAACTACAAATCATATTTAGACATGAATTAAATAAATCAAATCCTAAATAACTAAGGTTTCCTATTACAACTTTGAATTAGTTTTCCAACAACTTCAAATACGAAATGTTAAAGAGAAGAAGAATTTTGTATTTCTGTGCCATTTCCTGTTTATTTTTTCTTAAGCGCCAATTATTTAAATCATTAAACGCATAATTTTCACTAACTAGCAAATAAAAATCCTTGGATATCATAGGCAATTTTTAACCTAAGTAAAAGATTGAGAAACAAACGT